AAAGAAATTTTGATGTCTTGCCGAGGGAAATATGGTTGTGAAAACCTGACAACGCTGCTCAAAAGCAGGGTTGTGTAACTGACATCTAAATCTTCAGCTCCAACTTCGGCTCCAGCCAACATTTTGAGATTTTTGTTAGTCTTACAGTAATGATTGATATACCTTACTGAAATTGGACCTTGTTCATTGCTATTCATAAACCATAATAGACGGCTCTTAATCTAAATTCCAATGAATCTACGTCTGTTTTGTTAATTATAATATAATCAATAATTAATTACTGATAAAGTTAGCAACACAAAGCAATTATGCTTTGTTAACTATAAATTCAATGTTTCAGTGAAAATTCCAAACAAAAAAATGTTTAAAAAAATATAAAATTCGTTAAATGAAGTGGTGTGAAATTAGTATTTGAAAGGTGGTTGATGAGAAAGAGTGAATGTTGAAAATAATTACTTACTCAGGTTGACAAGCAGTAAGTAGGCTGGTAACAAGATGGTGTATAATTTTACCAAGGTGCGTTTTTCTCTGGTTGAAGGGTGTTGTAATGATTACTACTACGTTTGCCACGCCTAAAGTTTTCTCAACTATGATTGGTTAAATAATAAATACTGTTTACCACAAGACAATTTACTAATCGCAGTCACCACACTGAATTTTTCTGCTGTGAATTTCACAAACATGCTTTTGTTAGAAAATCACCGATTGGTTAATTTTTCACCCAATCATATATTTTCTGTGTTCGTTCAATTCTCCCGCCTTTGTTCCTGGAGCCTAGCAATAGTTATAAAAGCAGTGTTTTGTTCCAAAAATAGACAGTAAAATTCAGCAACTCACACGCGTCTACACAGACTATTGATTCTACTCACTACACACAGAGACACAGAAGTTGAATTACATTTCACCATCCGTTTTCTGCGAACAAGCCAAGTTACAAACCAACACTCTGTTAGTTATACAAATAACACACAACTGAATTAACTGTTTGTTTTTCTGAATGCAACATTCTATTTCAACATAGAACTTTGAACATTCTATTCAAGAAACATCTTTAATTACATTTTATCTTATTCAAGCTAACAGATAAAAGGAAACTACTTTCTTTTCCTTAATATTCACACATTACAAAAATTGTCCGGTAGGATCCAGTATTACAGGTTAGACACAAGTCTCTGATTCCCAATGTCAATTCGAAGCCACTCTCCATCTATGTTGTGATTGTTTTGATCCTGGAGAGTGGTCATCAGGTCGTAGAAATCCGGAAGCTCTCAGTTGGTCCACCTGCGAGTTCGTCGAGTGGGAATCGGGTTAACACAAAAATAAATATAACCAAGTCGATTCGATTTTGAAAGGTCAAAAGTTTTTTTTTATATATATAAAAGCAAACGCGCGCGCGCACACACACACACACACACACACACACACACACACACACACACACACACAAATTCTTGTTGCACAAGGTTGAATGTTTCTTGGATGTGAACAATAACCAAATAAACACAAATACTTCGAATAATTTCGGTAACCCTTTTTGGTCTGTTCTTAGCGCAACTACTACAACCTTCGATGTTCCCATTCTCAGTAGCAGTAACAGTAGTAGTATCAAGAATAGCGTTACTTTTGCTGCTTTGTCTTCAGCTTCAGTAACACACAGCGGATGCTTCCTTTTCAATCTCTGACGTCTCTCATTTCGACTGCGTTCGAAGATAGAGGAACCCAAAACTCTCTCTCTTCCGGTTGGCTCGCCTCTTTATTAAGAAAACCGACCTCACGTCTCCCAGACTGGTGACGTATCTGTTTTTCTAGTGCGAACGTACTGACATACTACCAAAGTACAACTTCACTCCTCCGAGAATAAACAGTTTACTTTTTCATCCACTGGTTTCCAAGGTTCACAACAAGACGCTATTAATTATTCTGTCACTGTTTGTAAACTACAGAGATTCTTGTTTTAGAAATAAATTCTAGATCAAAACATCCTTGATTTTAACTTCGATTCTTATAGTCTCAAAATCCATTTCTTTTTTTAAAAGTTCTAAATTATTATTGTTCCAGTAATTTTCTATTAGTAATCTGATATCCTTTGTACACTTACAAAAAGATTGTATTTCGTGTTCTAAACTATCTTTCTGTAACTTTTACCTTTCAAAGCATATTAACGTCTTGGTTATTCGAAAACGACTCTCTTTCACTTGGTGTTTTCTGTTTTACAGCATATCCTCTTTTATTATCATTATTATTATTTCAGGGGTGATATTACCGCTGCCACAAGGGAACGGAATTCGATTTTTTTTTTTTTTTATATTACAGCAGTTCTTTGTTCGGATATATTTCTTCTTTTTCTTTTGTAAGTTGAGTCGCAGAAATAAAATTGTCATCGATGTTCTGAAAGGCCAGCTGTTAAGTTCAGTTACATTTGCATCCTTCTATGTCCAAGTCTCTTCTTTTTTTGTACTATCTTTTGTCTGTTGTCAACACTTTGTATCTGCGTATATGTCACTTTATTTTCTCGCATCAGCTCGTGAATTTCTTTCTTTTCTTTTTCTCTAATTTCTCAAAATCGAGGCTTCTCAGTGGTTGAATATTTATTTCGAACATAGGCTCGAGAATTTCTTTCTTTGTTTCTCTAATTCCTCCAAGGTGGGGGTCTCTCGTTGTTGAATATTTACTTCACACCTAGTCACACCTTGGCGATTTCATTAGCCAAGCTAGGGAAGTTTCATTTTTTATTTTTTTGCTCTCTACAATAGTCACACTTAAGGTGTAAAAAAAAAAAAAATAATAAAAAAAAATAATTAAATAAATAATCTAAGCACCGACAAAAGATGGTTTGAATTTTGTGGTCGTCTTTTTAGGTAAAAATAATTTTTTTATACAGTATGTATGATGTTTTTTCTTAGCTTAAAATATTTTTATCGAATTTTTCTTATTGTGGAGAAAGAAAAAGAAGAAAACGAAAACAGCCAGCTGAAATTGTTAGTAAGGGGAAAGTGAAAACTGAGTCAAGGCGTAACCAACAGACACGTCACTAACTGTTGTTATAATCAGAGTAATATTAGTGTGATGATATATATAATTTTGCTATAAAGATCTTAATGGTTCCAAGTGTAGGGTCAGTCTACCTAGATTAAAAGTGAAAAATTAAAATCCGAGTGTCATACCCACAAATACAACATAGCATATGTACACATTAACATTTGTTTTTACATGTGTTATAATCTTCCTAAAATCAGATTTCCTTCTGATTCATGTTACACAAACTTCCACCACTGGCCGGATGTGAACGCTCCGAAACCCAAGACTTAACTAAAAATTCTGTCAAGTGTGCATCGGCTCCGCACCCACCTTCTGCTTTCCTCACACACCCAAAAAACATACGATCTAATTTTTTACCCAATAGCACCCACTCCCACCTAAAAAAAAAAAAAAAAAAAAAAAAAAAAAAAAAAAAAAAAAAGAAAAATTGGAGCCGATCTGAGCCAAGGACATAAAAGTCCATGAAAGGAACATCATGTCAGTCGGTCGGCACAACAGCTAGGGTTCACACGCTCGTCGGAACGCTACTTCCACAACTGACTTCTAATCTCCAAAGACAACTTGCCAAGGGACGTCGCCACAGTAAGACACGACTCGCCCTCGCTCTCCTATCGTACGCCTCTGCAGACAACCTTACTTATCTCTTTCTTTCAACAAGATACATTCACACCATTTCACCATTGTTGTATTTTTTGTTAATACAGTTATTTATTTCTTAAATCTCTGTCGTTTCCTTGTTCTGCCACCATACGCTTCCTTAATGTATTGTAACACATGGTAAACATTATGTTTGTTCTGGCCATAAAAAAATCAAAGTTCAAATGTTCGACAACATTTTTTTGTGTGTGGGCGTTTCTTACTTGGGTTTCATATTGGTTGTAGGATTTTATATCCTATAGAAGTTAACACTAGAGAAGTAACCTTAGCCAACTCAAACCATACTAGTAATGCATTTTTGATCACCAGTAACACAAGCTCAGAATGATAAATTTATTGCTGAGAAAGAGGAAATTTTATTGTGAACTTTTAGTTTACGGAGCTAGTACATTTCTGGCTTCAGCTCCGTCTCCAACTTTTCTAAATTATCTGGCTCCCCAGCCCAGATAAAAAGTTGCAAAAGGCCATACTTGATGACCCAGAAGGCCGCGGGTGCCCCATCCTTGCCCTAGATTATGATTATAAAAATATTGGTAAATTAAAAGTAAAACAAAACGTAATGTGAAATATAAAAGGTAAATTTTGGTTTTATTTCCCGAGCGCTAAAAATCCCTCAAAATTTTTCAAAATTGTAATAATTCCGTGCAAATGTACTTGCCGATTTTTTCTTGTCGATAACTCCAAAACGGTATGGTTTCTTCATAATTTAATTGTTAATTCGAGTTCAGCATGTACATTTGCACGGAATTATGACGATTTTGGAAAATTTTAAAGGATATTTAGCGCTTGGGAAATAAAACCAAAATTTACCATAAAATAATTTGCGAAGAAAATGCATGATTTTCCGAAAAATCATGTTTATTTAAATTTTCTTGTTCTATAGTTCATAGATATAATTCTTTTGTAAAAGTATAAAGGGAAAACTTGTTTTCGCAGTTATTTATTTGCACTTGGAATCTTGGTTTAAATTTTGTAAATAAAAAGAATCTTTTCAAATTTAATTTAAATTTTTAAAAAATGGTAAATAAATAATAAATATCGTCTTGTATTTGGTTCGCATATTCTTTTTTTTAACATGTTCTTTTTTTAATTATTTTGCTTAGGGTGAAAAACATTACACGTGTATTATTGTCTGCTAATGCAGATATGCATCCTTTAAGAGTTATACAATTTAAAATTTTAGATTAGAAGTTTTCGAAAAACTATCAAGGGAGGTAATAAAGTGGTATGTGTGTAACTCTCTAAATCAAAATTATATTTGCACAGTGCAATAAGACTTCCTGTACAGATAACATTGTACAATAATGGTAAGTTCCTTTTAAATGAATTAATTCACCATTTTCACCGAATATTTTACATTGAAAAGAATGTAATACAGAATAATTATTTGCCGAATTTCAGAGTTTGTAACGTATTTTTTTTCAGAGTTGAAGAACAAAACTTTTTTTATTCTCTTCGTTGTTGAAGAACAAAACTTCTTAAAAACACATCAGTTTAGTTTCGCAACAGTATTATAATTACTAGAAATATTTTATAAGGCATAATTTTTTAAAATATGATCGAATCATATCGCCTGTAAGCACGAAACAACAATAACAAAAATATAGCACGTGTTGTTGCACTAGTCAGACATAGTCTACATTACAACTCGTGTATGCAAATAAGTATTTTTTTCACTCAGCGATACAATGAAGATAAATTTAACTTTTATTTAATTTTTTTCCTTTAAGTGTCACTTCGCTCATGTAGGTTTATGTTTAGAAGATACAGAGAAATTAAAATAGCCTTTCAGTTAATTTTCCTTTTTTTCCGTTTCAGAAATTGTTTTTATTTCTTGCAATAGGCAAGCAAAGTTTTTTTTTTTTTTCTAAATCACTCCCTTGTTAAAGTGTACTTGGAGATCCTGTTTGGTTCAATTAAATTTTCCAATAAATTTTATTGTGCTTAACTTAACCTCGTAAAAATTTTGGCAGATTTATTTATTTAACAATGAAATGTAAGATTAAAAGGTATTGTAACACCCGAGCGCTAATATCCCTTCAAATTTTTCCAAAAAAGTCCTAATTCCGTGCAAATGTATATGCTTAACTCAAATCAACAATTAGATATTAAAGAAACCTACCTTTTTGGATGTTAACGACCAGAAATAATTGGACTTATTCTCGCTCTTCTTGTCATACTTTGCGGCCTTATTGAGAGACATTCACTGCTGAACCATTTCGCGCACGTATACAATTTTGGCCTAATTACTCCCTCAACGAAATTAATACGTGTTTTTTTTCTTTTTAATTTAAGTAAAGTTAACTTTTTACTTTCAAGTGTAGATTTTACTTATTTTTTTAAGAAGAAAGTTAACTTTCAAATGTATGAAAATATCGCCAAATAAAAGAACAACACAGTACTTTCAAATAATGAAAATATCGACAAATAAAAGATTAACAAAGTAATTTTCAAATGTATGAAAAATAAGTGAAGTGTACTTTTTAAAGAAGAAAGTTAACTTTCAAATATATGAAAATATCGACAATTAAAAGAATAACAAAGTACTTTCAAATATATGAAAATATCGATGAAAATACTTATAAATTATAAATAACAAAAAGAACAAAATAAGTAGGACAGTAAAGCATTTTTTTAATATTATACATTGAAAATAAAAAACAATAATTAAATCAATTGTAAGAGGAAGTTAAAAGCTTGGAAAAAAATGACATTGACAATTTAAAAACAAATGCAATATAGATGTCTATAATGAAGTAGGTCCTGGATACAGTCTGCTCGCCTCTCTCAGGAAAATGTGAAGGCGCTGACTTTTACATTTACCGATTAAAAAGTGGTCCTCTGTATATCCTTCAATAAAAAATATTACTGCTTTTAATGACACGCTTCGAGTAATTCTTCTGTTTGGATAAGCTTTTGAAAATATTTATAATTTTAATAAAGAATGTGTGTATATGTTTTTTTGGTAAATTTTCATTTCAACACCCGAGTGCTCCCTACAAATTTTTCCAAAATAGTCTTATTTCCATGCAAATGTATATGCTGAACTCAAATCAACAATTAGATATTGAAGAAATCTACCCTTTGGATGTTAACGACCAGAAAAAATCGAACTTCTCGCTCTTGTTGTCATCCCTTACCGGGTTATTGAGACATTCGCTGCTGAACCATTTCGCGCACTTATACAATTTTGGCCTATTTACTCCCTTAAAGAAATTAGTACGGGATTTTTTCTTTTTTTCTTTCTCCGTTTTTTATTTGTACTTAATTTAAGAAGAAAGTTAACATTCAAAAGTGATAAGTGTAGTTTTTACTTAATTTTTTAAAATATCGACAAATAAAAGAATAACAAAGTAATTTTTTTAAGAAGAAAGTTAACTTTCAAATATATGAAAATAAGTGATAAGTGTAGTTTTTACTTAATTTTTTAAGAAGAAAGTTAACTTTCAAATATATGAAAATATCGGCAAATAAAAGAATAACAAAGTAATTTTTTTTTAACCTTCAAATATTTGAAGATATGAAAATACTTATAAATTATAGATAACAAAAAGAACAAAATAAGTTGTACAGCAAAGCATTTTTTTTAATATTTAACATTGAAAATAAAACAATAATTAAATCAATTGTAAAAGAGGAAGTTAAAAGTTTCATATCTATGGAAAAAATGACATTGACAATTTAAAAAAAAATGCTATAAAGGAGATACTTCACTTACAAATATACAATATAGATGTCTATAATGAAGTAGTTTTAGGGTCCTGGATACAGTCTGCTCGTCTCTCTTGGGAAAAGGTGAAGGCGCTGACTATGTTTAGGGACTGCTTTTAAGAATAAAAAACGAGCAATGTATTGTTTTAAATACGAAGTTCTGTGTCCCGATCTTTTAATTATACCCTTAGTCATCCTCCATAGTCTTTCAACCATCTGCGTGTGGATATTTTGGTCTGTTGGATTTACAAAATGTTCAGAATGGTTGATTTGTTTGTGTGTGTACCCGTGTTCTGTTATCCGCACATACGCCGACCAGCAATCACTGTAAATGATTGATCCTGGTCGGATGTGTTGCATAATCAAGGGAACAAGGGTATGAGCATCCTTGGCTTCTCCTTCCCCGCAATCAGACATAAGTGGTACCATGAAGGTTTTCTTCGAGACTCTTTTGATTCCGCCAAATAGTAGCACTTTCCACGCAGGCAAGTGTGACTTTTCCAAAAGTGTATTTTTCCTATCACTAACACTGAAGCCACAATCTGTTTTCCGGCTGTTAGAACGATTTGAACTGCTAGGACTTGAGACAGGTTTTCTGCAACGCCATACTTTCTGGTTGGCACGCAACGAGCAAGGTGAATGGCATCGAGGGCATTCCATGGAAGACGGTAATATTCCATGTAGTCGAAGAAATTCTACTGAAGCCTCTTCATTCATTCGTACTGTTTAACATGACCACATGATTTATATTTAACGTAAAATATCACAAAACATGAAACAGCAAGAAGGAATAAAAACGTTTTTTATAACAGCAAACAAACATTTATAATATTTATTTTAGTGTAGTGTAAAGGTTTTGGTGACTGATTTAATGAGATAGAAATATTTATCTAAGCTTACGAAAGTTGAATGAATTATAAAGCTGGAAAATGCTGAATAAACTGTAACCTTAGAAGAGTATTTCAAAGAAAAAAGTTCTTGTTGCTTGTTTGGAAATGCTTTGTATGTTTGTAATGTAGTTTGGAAAATTTTGTACGTACGTGCATGTGTGAATATGCTTTTAACGTATGACCGCCCATGGTCGAGACGAGATTCTTCAAGGTTAGAAGATAGTAAGCTTGTGTCTGCTATTTATAATTAATGTAACCACGTGACTGGGTCAAAGGAACTTGGCGGGAAAACTTGTCTTTGTCACGCACTGGAAAAATATTTGTACGTAGGTCGATTGCAACACCCACTTGTGTGTTTATTGACCAATTAAAAGCTGATGTTTCCTGAAAATATTTACTAAGCTGAGTAGGCTCTCTAATTCACTTTTTGTACAAAATTCAACATTGATAAGAAAGTGGTAGCGGGATGCTAAAATGCCCCCCTCGGATTGAAAGTTGCAGGAACGAAAACTTTCAATATGCAAAAAGTTATAAACTGAATAGAGAAAGTATCCAAAATGGTTGACATATATTGAAGTTGAATACGTGATTTTTTTGAAATGTTATCAGATAAAAAAGTCAGAAAGGTATGTGCATTGTCAGTGTGCTGAAATTATATTCATAGTGAATGTATAGCACAGTTTGAATGAATATGTGTTGATGAAGTGTACACATGAATTGCTGTTAGCCGATGCTGTTGTGTTTAAATGCTTGCATCTTGCTTAATTCCAATGCTCCGTGTAAATTCATTAGTGTACTGTAGAATGCATGCGGATTTATGTTGGAATGAGAGCATCATGGCGAAATTGAAAAAAATTTGTGTATTAGTGATAACTAGGTAATATTTAGTAATATTGTCAGCAAATTTTTATGTGAAAGTTGTAGAATATATTTTGGGCAGTGGGTCGTCTGAAGATTGCGCTGCGCAAAATTTATTCAAGGACAGCGGGTCATCTGAAGATTGTTTGTATAATTTCAATATATTGGTTATTTCTTGCATTATATAATGTTGATTATTTTCAAGTAATATTTGGATTTGGTCAACACATCTGTGCAATATCAGTTTAGCGAGAAATCTTCAGTATGAAGAAATTTCACTTTTGTCATATTTGATCATTCACATTTCCTATCTATTATCTGTACATTTAATTCACATTTTTAGCTTTCTTGAAAGAATATTGATAATGATTTTATTTTCATCTTCAATGTTAAAAAAAATCAATAAACAAAAATATCCCAATTTGGATAACATTTCTTGAATGTATACTGATATAACAGTTATTATCATATAACTAAAAGTAATCTTTTTGAATGCTTCATTTAATTTAAAGATTTAGTTAAAACTAAATGCTTTTTAATTTTATGTAATGACAAAAGCAGAATGACCTTTTTGACTAACCCAATAGTACTACATTTATGCTATTGTTTTTTTCTATTTAGTCATATGCTAACTTAGTGCCCTCACTGCTTGTAATATTTTTGTTTATAAAATTCTTAAACCACCATCCTACACAAAGATGTGGGAAATTTATTAATTATTCATTTATTTTTTTGTGTATTTTTGAATCTTGAAGTTAAGAAAAAGCTTTCTGTGGTAAATTTACAATATTTTCAGAAAGTTTGAAATTATTTGTTTGACTGTATAATTTCAAAGACAGTTATAGTTGAAGATGACTACTTGGTTAGATTAATTTTTAGAAGTTGTTTGTTGAAAGAATGGCATTTGCTTTGAATAACATCTTTTGTTTTTGTTTAATTAGGTTTTTCTGATAAACTCTGATATAATTAAGATGTTACCAAAAGCAATAAGCTATAGGAATTGTTCTTTTCATGGTATGATTTTATTTATTTTTTTAAAAAATAGTATTATTTGTAATTAATCTTTCTTTAGTATAGGTGTGATGACATTTTTAACCTATATTGTATCTGTCTCCATTAAATGTTTTACTGCACACTTCAAGCAGCTATTAATTCAAGGTAACACTTTTCCAGACTTAATTTGTGCTTGTCAAGTCCCTCTCTTTTATCCTTTTTGAAATCTTTGACACATTCCATGCATATTTTTTCACTGATAGGCACAGTTTCTTCTACTACTTTAACTATTGGTTTTGATGATACAGTAGATGCTTTTTAATTTTATGTATTGACAAAAGCAGAATGACCTTTTTGACTAACCCAATAGTACTACATTTATGCTATTGTTTTTTTCTATTAAATTTAAGAAGTTGTGGTTAACTGTCACAACAGCAAAAATCTACAATAGAATATTGTTAAATAGAATAAAATCATATTTGGGTCCTTTAATCAGAGACAACCGAAATTGTTTTCATGCTGATAAGCTAACATTATCACGGATTCTCATGCTGAGAAAATTTATTGAAGGGATAAGAGCAGAATAACTATCTACAATATTCCCTTTTGTTAACCTCAATAAAGCATTTGACTCAATACACAGAGAGACATTGGTGGAAATCCTGAAAGTATACAGAATACCATCAAAGATAATGGATGCTAAAAGAATTCTATACTAAAACACTAAAGCTCAACTATTAAATCTAGCTGCACATACAAAATTCATTAAAATACTTGCACGTGTTCTCCAAGGTGACACACTTGCATCATTCTTGTTCATATCTCTGGACTATATACTTTGAGAAACAACATGAGAAGCATACATTGGTTTCACCCTAACAAGTTGGAACACCTGCCACCTAGATACATACGTCATGGATACTGACTTTGCAGACAATCTTGTTTTAATCTCAAGGTATTTAGAACAGGCACAACTTGCCCTTCCCCAGCTAGAGGTTACAGCAGAAGCAGTGGGATTATATGTAAATTTCAAGAAAACTTCATATGTTACAATCAACCAGAGGATGAAATTATCACATTAGAAGGAAATAATCTGAAGCAAGTAGATAACTTAAAGTACCTTGATGTTTGGATTCAGTCAAGTAAAAAGGACATGAAGACCACATTGGGTAAACCTAGGATGCACTAAACAAAATGGAATAGCTATGAAAATTGAATCTTCAAAACCATTTGAAAATAAGTTTCTTTCAAGCCACAATGGAAAACCTACTGCTGTACGAGTATACAGGAGTCTACTTATTTTTGAACTACTACATATTCATATTTGTGGTTACAGAATTTTAATGCTAAATAAATGGTAATAAATAATATCTGTTTTGATTGTATAATAATAGAAAATAATAAAATCCTGGTATGTTTGGTTTAGAAAAAATTCAACTTTTTCAAAAAAAAACTTGGTAAGTGTACTTATTCATGGACTAAATGTTTTTTTTGCACATATCTTTTACTTGAAATTATATAAGAAAATCTTAATTATAAGAATATTATAAATTACAAGATATTACATTATCAGTAAAACCATAGTTCTCTGTTTTAATCTTTTGCAGCCACGATATAAAAAGAAGTTCATTGATAAGAAAAATGCTATCACTTTCCATCTTGTCCATCGAAGCCAACAGGATCCCATGTTGGTGTCTGAGGATTCTCAGCATGTTCTTTTACCTGCAGCAAAAGTGAGTACTGTAATTTTTATTATTAAATGATTGCTTTTTGTCTTCATGTATTTTTTCCTCTTTGTAAACAAAATAGCAAGCAATATGAATTGAAATTTCAAGTTTTCTGCTCAATTCACTATCATTCAGCTGATAATTTTTTTGTCTATAAGAATTACCATACTTTAATTATTTTTTGAATTTAGTTTTATATAATAATCAACTAGAGATTTTGTACATTTATGAATTATCAGCATCATGATATGGTTAGGTTTCCAGGTTAATTTTCTGTAATAATCAAAATGTGCATACTTTCTGTTAGTTTAGATTTTACAACTGCTTATACTTCACAAATCATTTCAGTGTGTTGTAACGGATAACTGTTTGGAATGAGAAATCTGAGAGCAGAAATCGAATTCCAGTCAGGTTTGTTACATTCACTTACATGCAAATAACTTTGGGAAAGCTATGAATCCAGCTTTTCTCCTCCCCACCTATGGATTGAATAACAGGACAGGCTGGATTTTGTAGACTTGGTTGGCTACCAGTATACTGCAGAAAGAAACGATAGCCTACTGTGTGAAAATCTGCTTAGTCAGTCATAAATCAAAACAGACATGATTGCCCAAGCAGATACCACATATGGTGCTTAACTCAGTGGTTAGTAAAGGGTAACTTTTTTTTTGGCTAACTTTTTAAAAATGTAGTTAATTTATAGCTGCAAAAATATCTCCAGTTGTCTTAACTTAGCTAAAATATTATAGTATATTTAATAACATCCTTGGGATAATACAATGAACCAAATTAATCAGTGAAAATCGAAATAAGAATTTTTTCTAACTCCTCCAGTGTTGCTTGAGGTATAAAAGCATTCACTTAGTTTTGTAAAAAATAAATAAAATTGCTAGATTTTATTTCTTGTAAAATTAAACATTTAAGGTTATATAAACTTTCATAGTGTGAATAACTTTTTGGACAATCTGTTACTAAGCCAATAAGAAAATTTGTACTTCTACTAAACATGCCTTATCAAAATGGTTAAAATACTTAGAATTCTTACAGTTATTTTAATCTTTCTTTTCATTTTCTTATTTTCTTTTTCAAAAGTATGTTTTATTTCTTATAGAATTTCAAAGAAGAGCAAATGGAAGAACAAAGAAAATTTGGTATCTATTTTGATGATGACTATAATTATTTGCAACATTTAAAAGAAGCAAATGAAGCTTGTGTACTTGAAGGGGTTGAAACATTTCGGTTGAATACAACTGGACCACCTGTAAGTATTTTTAAGTCTGCCTTTCCTGCTTAATTTTTGAGAGAATGAGTAATTTGAAATGGTGGTTTTTTTCCAAAAATCTCTCTTTACAGAATGTTTTTATCACGTTAGATTTTCCAAGGTAACAATATTGTTTCATTGCATAGAATGAAATCAGTGTTAATTTTAGAAAAACGGAAATTTTAGTAATATGAGAATTTTCCAGGTTTTAGCAATTTACACCTTTTATAAGAAATATAAAAACTTACTGTTTTTAGTCTTATGATTCTCACTACTGTAGGAATACATATTGGTTTATTTTTTTTATTTTTCCTAAATTGGTAACATTCAAACTGTAATGGCACAGATACACATTTTGTTTCCTTATTTTTTTTATCTTTTACAGAAACCTTCCTCTGAGCAAAAATTATTGCTACCTTCCACAGTATTTGCTTCTGCTGTGGAAACAAATGTAGGATTATTAAATAAAGCTGCTCCACATTCAGGTGAGTAATTTTTTAAACTTTTTCTTGAAAATAAACAAAGTGGTTATATAACCTTTTAGAAAATATGTTGTTTCAATGATTGATATGATTAATGTAAATGACATCCATTATTTAACAAATATCTAGTATTGATTTTCTATGTTACTTCTTGAGTCTTTTAATGAATACATGACTTTCATTTTCGAGCCTCTTAGTAAATTTCATTTTGTGATTTCTAAAACCAGTACTTTTCTCCTTCTGTAATTATAAACTCAACACTTTTTAACTCCATGAGATTGGATGATGGTAATGCTATCTTTGGATTAATTACAATAAATTATTCCAGGAATAGTTTAATGTTTGCATTTAATATATTAAAATAGTAATGATTAATCATAAAAAGTTATTACATACTAAGCAAGGAGTGTAATTTTTTTTTTTCTTTTAAAGGCCCCAAGATTGATTGGGATCCTGACATTGTAGCTGTACTTGATGGCGACTTTGATTATGATGACCCTGAAGGGACATTGGAAGATGATTTCTTCGTCAAAGCCAATGCGACCAATGAAGGAGAAGAATCTGAAGAGTAAGTTATTCATCAAATTGATTGTATGTTGACATTTTATAGTTTGTATCGCAAATTTCTAAGCTAATTATATGGAAATAATATGGATATTTATAACATGGTCTGTGGTTGTGAGGTTTGTTTGTTCCTAATATCTAATATATAAGTAAATAGTAAATATCTTTTTTATTCTCATTGAAATAAAAGAAAGCATCTTGCTGACTTATTTGTTCATAAGATGGACATTCCCAATAAACACTGTTTACAGTAGAGAGGATGATAGAAGCACTGAAATGTTTAAATTTCTGTTTACCAACTGTGAATATCATATTAGTTATTTTGGTAATGGAAAGATGAATATGAATTTTTCAATATGTGTCAGTTGTTTTGACTTTAATTATTCATTGATATGATCTGTAAATGAATCAAGTTGATACTTTAGCAAGTCTGACATCCAGTTAAAATGTAAAGTTTAGTTTTAGATAAGCATAGATGAGTTTTAACTAGTCTTTACTTGATATTACTCTATTATTATCTTGACCTTTGCACATCAAGTTATCAAAATTTATTGATACCAATTATTTGGAATGGATTACACACCTGATTTTTATTATGTGCTAGTACTTTTTTTTATTGATAATTTGAAGAAAGAAAAAAAGTAGATGACTTGGTAAAGGATATAAATGCATTACATGAATTCACAAAACACTTTACTATAGCTTGAGGCAGAAACTGTGAAAGTTTTTTTTTTTTTTTTTTGTGGCATAATTTATTAAAACTCTATGTGTGAAAATAGATTGTTACAAACCATCCTTAAATTTTCTCAAAAGTTGGCCTCTTGTAAATACATAATTTTGCTATGTATATTTCAGTGATATTGGGTAGGTAAATCAATACAGCAATGAAAATGTTCAGTTTCTAATTATTAGATAAAAAGTATAGGCCATTTTACTTTTAGGGTGTCATGAGTTAATCAGAAAACTTAACATTTTATTTATTCCCAGTGATGCTAATTTGGATAATAGTTCAGATGGAGCTTCAGATGCTGCTGAAATGTCTGATGGGGCATTGGAGGAATATTTCATGGAAGAGGAGACGAAATCATATTTCACAAATTATTCAATGTCATCATCTGTTCTTCCTCGAAGTGAAGCTCTTGTGGACCTTGATGATCAGTTTGAGAAGGTAAATGTTATTGATTATTAAAAATGTTTTTAAAAAATACTTTTAATAAAATTGTTAGTTTTTATGCTCATGTTTGTATACTTGCATTTTGTTTTAAAATGTGACCTGTCTTCAGGATGTAGGTAATAATGACAGCTTCCTTTTCTTCAATATCCATGACTTGGCATGACTTCTTGGGAAAGATTGAAGTGTTTTTCCATTGCCTTTCTTTCTAGACTGGCTGTCACTTAAGGCTAATTTTATTCTGTATGTTTTCTTCATTTATTTTCAGAAGACATGGTAGAAGATGTGAAGTAATAACAACTGTTTTTATTTTTCAGTTTTTTGAGCAATATGATGAAAGTGAGATAGGTGCTTTGGATTTTGATAATATTGATGGCAATGTAGATGACAAATGTGAACAAATGAATAAACTTATAAAAGATTATCAGGAGAGCAAAGCAGAAGGGTGAGTCGTTTGAAATAAATGTAAAAGGAGATCAAGAGAATCATTTTTATTTCCTTTTTAAAAATTGTGCATTAAGAAAGAATTTTATTTATTTAAAAAATTCTTTGTTGAAAATATTGTGTTTATTTGTAGAAATAATGAAAATACCTTCTTTCATAAAATTTTTTTTTCCATGCTATCATTATTTAAAAAAGGTAAATCTGACAAAGTGAGTTCAAGAATTAATGAATCTCAAAAGTAATTTTAAGTTAGCAGTGACAATGTAGATGATAATATTATTTTCACATTTATTCACTTTAATTTCTATCATTTCTCAAGAAATGTGATCATCTGTTTTTCTTTTCCGTAGAAAAATGGATGATATTTTAAAGACAGTTACAGTGAAGACAGCTAATATCAGTGATCTCTCAAGTAGTGAAGAAGAAGTAGAAGTTGAGGAGAAAGGAGAGAAATGGGATTGTGAATCCATTCTCAGTAAGTCTTTTTTTATTTCTAAGAAAACTTGAATAGACTTATATTTTTTTATTTTTTTTGCCTAAAACATATCTTTTTATCATAACCATCTTGATGTTTGCTTTATATATTTATTTTCTAAATTGACAATCAACATCCTTGTAAAATGTCTTTCTATCTCAAAATATTTCAACCAATTATAAATCGGCAATAGGTGCAATGCAGAATATCTTTCGGGCATTTACTGATTTGCTTTAATTATTTTTAATCTGAAGACTGTTCATTAAAACTCTATGTAAACTTTCAAACACAAATATCTTTCATATAACATTTTTCATTTTCCAAATTTGAGAGAATAAGTGTAAGAGAAATGAATGTCACTATCAATTTCAAGCTAAATGTCATGTTCCATTTTTTTTTTTTTTTTTTTCAGCTTTAATGATTTCTTCTTTCTTTCATATTCTATTTTCATTATCTTCTGCCTTTGAACTTAAACAACTAGTTTAATCATGTCAGTTATAAATCTGAACATGTATCACATTTTAAAAAAATGTCCATTTCCTTTCTTTCATTATTTTCCATGTAAAAATTGTTTTTGTTTATGCCATTCCAAATTTTATAAAATTACCTTTATTTTAGGTACATATTCAAATTTGTACAATCGGCCAAAAATAATTGAAGAGCCTCAAAAGGTAATTTTTTAACCTATATTGTTGCTATTTTCTAATTTAGACAGTTGCTAGATTTTATATAAATTTAGAATTTACTTTTATATTACATCTTTACTATCCTATTTTCATGGATAAACTTAATTTGTAAGATGTTAATCATTGCAAGCTATTTTCAGTTTATAACTTGCATGTTAGATTAAGAACTCTATATATTTGACCACAAAATTACTTTTCTAGTACCTAATAACATTTATGTAAGTTTTGGCAATTTTTTGTCTTTTGTTGATTATTATAAGGTTATTTGAACATTTATTCTGTAGTCTTAAAGTAAGTAGCATGGATTAAGAATAAAGAATTGGCTTTTGATGAGATTTGAACTTATTTTTGGGATCCTGTCATATCAGGGCTAATTAGGCTATGAAAGCTAACAGATAACATTTGAGATTTAATTATATAGCTATATTTATTTTCTTATTTTCATGCCATATTGCTTGCTTACATTAAAAATATTAAATATAATTGTGTTCACATCTTAAGACTATTACAGTATTACTAGTGTAAACAATGTATGCAATTTAGAAGACTAATTAACTAATACAATACATCATCAATTCCTTCTTTTAGGGCTGCTAGGATTTTACAAGCGAGTAGTAGAAAAATGCTTACACTGATTAAATATTTAACTTAGAGCATAAAGGTATTTTAGAGGTATGTGTATACCTAGATATAAGCCAAATGTGGGGAGAAAAATAAGAGTTAAGAATAGGTATCTCTAAATTTTGGTAACCTAAGGTTTAAATGTATTTTCATAAATGAAAAATGTTTCTTGAAATTTTCTTTTTAGCCTCAATTGAAAGCTAAAGGATTAAATTTTCTAATTTCAGAAAGCAAAATACTATGCTGTATTTCAAGTAGAAATTAGAATGATTTTTACTTGATTCATTTTATTTTATTTATTTTTTTTTTTTCAGAAAAAACAATTGAAATGGACATTTTTAATTTTTTGACAGACTGTAAACAAAACTTAATTCTTGGTTTTAGAAATCTTGCAAAAATAAAATATATATTTCTGAAACCTTATTTGTGGAAAATTACCAAATTTAAAGTTAAATTAATCTGTTCTGAAACAAAATTTTACTTACTTATACAAGCATTTCTTGACTTATGGGGTCTTGTTATTCTCATGTCTCCATCAATATTTTTTTTTTTTTTTATAGGTTCTTAATGTTACAATTGAGATGCTTTCTGAAAATATGATAAAAATTTAGAATACTATAAAAATTTCTTAAATTAATAACATTTCATAAATTATTCAGTTACCTCAAATTTTTTAATCCTTCCTACCACATTTGAAATTTTGGTTATTTTTTTTTTCTGTATTAGCAGTGTAAACATTTTTCTTTCTTTTATCAAATCAGATTAATTTAACTTTAAATTTGCTAATTTTCCTCAACATTTCAGAAAATATATTGTATTTTTAAAAAAATTTTAAAAACAAGAATTAACTTTTGTTTACAAAAAATAGCAAAAATTTTATTGCTTTTTTTTTACTGACAAAAATACAAAAACATTCTACTAATCAATATATAATTTCTGTTTGAAATACACCAGAGTATTTTGATTACTGGAAAACTTAATTTTTTAATCACTTTGGTTTCAATTAAAGCTAAGTAAAGTAAAGCTAGTAGCTTCAAGAAAACTTTTTCATTTTTAAAACTTAGGTATCAAGAATTAGGGGAGGTACTTACCACAATTAAAAATAAACTGAGAAAAAGCTAATTTCAAATGTAAATGAAGTAAAGTATAAAAATGATTAAACCAAACATTAGGTTTAAAATGAAATAAAGGGTTACCTTTCAAACGTTTTTTATCAAAATATAACTCCCAAAAAAGAATAAAGAAACTTTAAAAAAATTAAAAAACTAAATAGAAATAAATTATTTTTCTTAATTAAGTTAAAAAAAAAAAATAGCATAAGAGGGACTACCCTTGAAAAACGTAACATTTAGACACAAAAAAATTATTTTTTAAATTTTTGGTGGGATGATTTGTGTTAAGCTTTTCAGTTTTCATTCAGTAAATATAGTCTTCACTTAATAACTTAATAATCTAACTTTGATGATGTTTGGAAGAATTTTAAAACATTTTTGAAACTTTATAATTAAAAAAAGAATAATGCAAACAATTCTTGTAAAAATTCATTATCCATCGGAAAAAAAAACTTATTTCTTCAGACTATAATGTCCTTAATATATATCTTACTTATTATAAAACGCAGATTGTGTGTGTGTCTGTACGTTTATATATTTCTTACATTTTTCAACCGATTTCAACAAAACTTCACAGGACTACGTAAAATTACCTTGTGGTGGTTCTGACAGTGCCAAAAATTGGAAAAACACAATTGTTTTTGCACGAAATCAATTTGAAAACACGATAAAACACGATTCTGTCGCCAGAATGAAAGGGGGACAACTCATATCGAGTTATACTTATTATAAAACCCAGGTTGTTTGTGTGTGTTCGTTTATATATGGGATCGGATTTCCTACATTTTTCAACCAATTTCAACAAAACTTCACTTTTTTTTGGCAGGTAGTGTTTCTTATTGTCTTGCACACTTTTTTCTTTATTTTTACATTCAGAATGCTTTAAAAATTCCATTTACAAGACAATTGTTTATAATAAAATTCTATTCAATCGATAGACTCATAAAAATTGAAAACAATGTTTTTGTTCGAGTTTGGGTTTGACCAGTTTGTAAAAAAACATATTAAGACATGCGTGTCCGTCAACCTTAAACAATAATCTTTGTCAATTTTATTTTTCAGTCTTTATGATGGTCGATACTTGATCTATCTCTTATTGTTACATTCCCGGGCAATGCTGGGCTCTACTGCTAGTTATTTATAGAAGCAATTAAAAGTTTATCTAATTAAATAATTAGATAGTTTTATTGCAGTTTTTATTTTACGACTTAGAGCCGATTTTTAGAAAACTTGGTAATAGTTTAAAAAAAAAATTTGATGATTTACGTTCTCCCAGGTGTCCTGCTTTTAACTAATAAAAAAACATTTTGTTGACAATTTTAAATTCTAGAAAATTTTATGAAATTAAGTAAGGAGGGGGAGTTTAACATATGTTAAAAAAAAAAAAAAATTTCTAAAAAAAAATAATAATTTTAAAAATAAATTCATTCATTTGTGAATAAATCCTGAAAGTTTCATTAAAATCTGACAATTATTTGATTTTTGCAAGAGTTTCAAAATTAATGTTATTTTACTGGAAATGGTAGTGTGAAAATGTCTATTACCAGCCACTGTTGACACAAAAAACAGACAAGATTTTTAAGACATTTTGAATGTATTTTCTAAAAAAATTTTAGTAAAAGTTAACACGAAGATCTGGGTGGTGTCTTGGAAGTGGCCTGGTGACACCACCTGCATTGAAGAATCAGGCAGCTGAGTATTCAGTACCAATGCCACTCAGGGAGGAGTATACTTGTGAGCTACAAACCTGGATGGATAATGGCTGGCTACTTCTGTATTTTGAGGAAGGACTCAGCCCTCCAACCCCCAAAGGCCTGATCCCTCTAATGGCTCTGTTGCAGGAAAACAAACAGAAGGTCCGCCTGGTCATGGATTATTGGGAGCTCAATCAATATGTTGACGTGCACACAGCTGATGCAGATGTTTGCTTGCAAAAATTGAGGGAGTGGTGATAGAAAGGATCAGTTGTCACTGTGCTGGATTTGTGCCATGCTTATTTGCAGATTCATGTTGACAAATTGTTATGGCCATTTCAAACAGTGAAGATAAATGGGCAAAAATATTGCCTCATCCCTTTGGGTTTTAGGCTTGACTTGGCACCACTAATCATTTGTGAATGCCGTGGTTGCACAGGACAAAACCATTTAGAGTGCCATGTCCTCGTACATTGATGACATATTTGTCAATGAGAGTGTATGCATTGTGGCATGTGTAAGAGCACATTTTCAGTGATTCGGACTGACAAGTAAGAACCCAAAGCATTTAGAGAGTGGCACCCATGTGCTAGGATTGTGTGTGGGAGGAGTAGGGTAAATTGCAATGGAGTTGCGGGAGTGACCCCTCCCACTGCTGCCTAATGTGTTAACTCATTGGAGCATCTTTTCCCTGTGTGGGAAGTTGACTGGACATTTGCCAGTATGCTGCTGGCTCTGTGTTGCAACTGCATTCATAAAACGATGTGCAAACTCTGTAACAACTGGTTGGGGGCAATGAGGTGAGGGACCCACCCCTGATTTGGATGCTGATGGATATCATTACCAGATGAGCACAGAAGGATCTGGCACAGGCTGATTGGTGTGTTGATGGACACAGTCACTGTGTGGGTTGATGCAAGCTCCTTGGTTAGCGGTGTTTTTGTGGAAAGTGGTGAATCCCTGGTTGAAGATGCTTGACTGCAACCTTGAGAAACATCAACATGGCACTGCACCTGAAGACGTACTTGATTTGAGTGCATCGATGGGTTTCTGATAGGTTGTCTGGAAAGTCTTGAGTGCACACGAAGGCAGTGACAGAAATGTTAATAAGACATTGGCTCAGCACAATCAAGGAACTGGTGGAAGAATACAAATTGACTATTCACATAGAGCTTGTCAGATCCCATGCAAACCAAGCTGATCAAACTTACCAGAGTGCCTCAATGATGCCCGGGTGTGGTTTGGAAGAAACAGAATCAGTGTGCACTGTATGTATAGAAGAGCAGGAATCACTCACATTCAAGCCATCCATTGATGTAGTGGGCACACCTTGTATTTTGTAAGATGGATCCACCCTGAGGTCTTAGAGGTAGCTGTTCAGGCAGTGGTTGGAGAGTGTGAAGTGTGCCAATCCATAGATCCAGCACCAGTGCATTGGAAAACTGGACTGTTGGATGTGTGTGAGAATTGTGGAGCAGGGTGGGGATGGACAATAACCCATTATGAAGGCCAGCATTATCTGACTGTGGCCCTAGTTGGTTTTCCATCTGGCAGCTGTTACCATATCAGGACTCTGCCAGCATCATCTGATAGGTGGGGTTGCTATTCTGAGAAAGAGTGCCATCTGCCGAGCTGCTCATTGACAGTGGTGCAGCATTCTGTGAGGAGGCGTTTGTGAGGTTTGCAGCTAACTAGGGCATCTGACTTAGATTCTGGTGTGGGTTAGGGTCAACCATCAAGGAATGGCATCGTGGAGAGATGCCATCACACCATCAAGTGTATTGCTGCTTGGTCAGGATTTTCCATTATGGAGGTGTTATATTAGTATAATGTGACGCCAAGAGATGATGCAACAGTTTTGTCAACACTAACTATATAACTATCACGCCTGCATAAAGGGTATCAATGTTGCACCACCATTTGAACAAACAGTTCCTGAAATCTACAGAGTAGGAGATATGGTATGGGTAAGGACCCCACATGGTCGATGTTTGATGCAATTCAAAAAAGGAACAGTGACAGGGGTCTAGACTACATTTAGTTCTCATTACTGGAATGCCACGCCATGTCAAGAGACCTTTGCCAGTGTTGGAGATCTGCATTGTTGGAAGATGATGGCAGTGATAAGTTGTCTGAGAGAGACTCAAATTCACTGCGGTCTTTTAGTGCAGGGCCAGGCTATTCATCTATGGATCTAGAGGATACAGTTGCTGAAGACACCAATGATAATGTCAATGGAGAAGAGACAGGTGGATCCTGTCCACCTTTGCATAAAAGCACTCAACAAAGGCGACCACGATCTCTGTGTCATGTATGTGATCAGGAGATCAGGGAGGAATGTAGAAGAAGACTTACCCTGTGTGGCAAAGCGAACATGTATATGCCTGCCGTGCAAAATGAGTGAAGGAAAGGAAAAAGAAATATAGCTGCACTAACACCTTAAAGACATGGTCTTGGAGCTAGGAGTTTTTAAGAAACTTTATGAAATTTGAATTTCTTAAGTTAACTACCTTAAACAAAAAATTAATTGAAGTATAACCCAAACTAAAATAAATACATAAAATAAAAATATTTAGTGAAATAGCAATTAAGAAAAGTAAAACTTTTTCTTATATTTGGAAGGAATGATTTGCAAAGACATTAATAATGAAACAGAATTGAATTAAAAGTGAAATAATTGTAGTGCGTCAGATGACACTTAAATCATGTGACCTATCTCATGTATAGATTCCCACAGGTTGAAATTAGGAACGTTTTTTTTTCACTAAAAATTATTTTTAAAATATTTGGGTACAACAAGCTTTTCAAATTTTGATTCGTAAATTTACTTTTCAGTTAATGATACCACCAAATTGTATTCTTGAAAGCAATGAAGAATTTTAAACAATTTTTGATCTATTATATTATTATAATTTAAATTTTAAAAAAAATGAAAAAATTCTTGTAAAAATTCATTATTCATCTAAAAATTTTATTTCTTCAGACAATAGTGTCCTTAATATAACTTATTTACAAAAGCGATTAAAAGCTTTTTTAATTAAATAATGTCATAGTTTTATTGCATTTTTTATTTTAAATTCAGAGCAGTTTTTCGATGAAACAGGTAACTGTTTTACAAAAAAAATAGATTTACTTTCTCCAAAGAGTCCTATTTTTAACTAATAAAAAAAAATCCCCTCCTCAAAAATTTAATTTCTCGAAATTTCATGAAATTATGTAAGTGGGTGGTAATATATGTAAAAAAAAAAAAATTTTTTAACAAGATTTTCTAAAAAATAAAGATTTCAAAAATAATTTTATTCATTTCTGAATATGTCCTGAAAGTTTCATTAAAATCCAACAATTATTTGAATTTTGCAAGAATTTCCAAATCAATGTGTGTTTTCCTTGGAAAAAGCGCAAAATAAAACAAACCTTTTTTTCTCTAGTTCACTGCTGTCATAAAATAAACAAGATTTTTAACCAAAATTTTGAATGTATTAGAAAGTAAAAAATTTCAAAAACTACTTTGGTGTTTTCTCTTAATAATAACATAAACATTTTGATGACAAAACTTTGTTTATATTGAGTTTGGGGCTTTTTTCATTATGCTATGCTGTTTTTTATGCAACCTAGTGGAGATACCTACATTAATGGCACTAAGCTTTTGAGTGCCCCCCAGCTTCTGTTTTGAAAACTATTAGCCAACAATTGGTGATCCATGTGTGGAGTTCTTGTTCATTGGTATCACTAATGTTCTTTGAAATTGGGTACTCTGATACTGATCTGATGTGGTTATTGCATCTATTCTGGGAAGTAAATCAAAGCCTAGAGGTTTCTCATGCACCACACGGGATTCATCCTTGACTGAGTTGCCACTGTCTGTGTAGATATTAATGGTCCCGACACCACAGCACACCTGCATTCTGCAACCGATTGTCTCCACATCTACATGCTTTCCGGTCCACAACCAACATTGCTTCTGCACTAATGATCAGCCAAGAGCAGATAGTGTAAATGAGAACTGAACACCATTCCCTGTTGACCAAATGTGTTGACTACAAGCAACACTGCATTTATATCTTTGCAGGGAATGAGACTGGTGCTGATGTCTGTTCCCCTGATCCATTTCTTGGACATTTCTGTGATGTGTGGTCCAGTTTGTCACGGTGATAACACCATATGGATAGCACTATATAGTTTTGTTTCCTCACTGGCTCCCACTTTTCCCAATTGTCAACTCAAACAATATCTAGCCAAGTGATTAGCACCACCACATCTGTGGCAGACGATATCACTCTGCAGTTATCATTGGCTGAAGTCAAATCTGTACCCAGTTGCTCAGGTTTTTCAGCTGCCACAATCAATTCCACTGCTGGTGTGTCATCCTCCTTCAGTATGGCACTAGCCTGGTCTAATAGCTGGTTGACATCCAGTGTATCCATTCAAGAAGAAGCATTAGGCAGCTTCCTGACGTGCTCAGGCAACTTTGCCACATATGCACATGCAAGTCCATGGTCAGACAATGTTGACAGCCTACGGAGGTCTGACAAGTAGATATCTACAGATTCGTTTGAAATCAAGCACCTAACTACGAACTGGTTGTATGCTATTAATGGATCTGTGACAAAAGCAACATACAGGGCATCTATGATATGGCCTACATCTTTTCTTCCTTCCTTGCTGAGTTATTAGAACACAGCAAACATGCCTCCCATCAGTCAAAGTGGCAGAATGCTAGCTATGTTCTTCATGCTGCACAGATCACAGACTAGTTCAGCCATTTCAAACCATTCAACGATAGTGATACTCCAGTCCAAACCATCAAATTAAGGGATTAGCTTCAGGTTGAACTTGCTGACAGCCATGAGTGCTGAAATAACTTGTTGTAATGTTATAACATGGCCATCCTGGCTCAATCCTGGGTTTTTCCCATGCTGGTCATTAATGCCGCCAGTCAATCGATGGTTATCTGCTTTGTTCCTTCATCTGCTTCTGTGCCATGTTATGTTCTTTGATCACAGAACAGTGAAGATCAAATTTTGTCTGTACTTGCTAGATCGGGCCATGGCAGAACAAAAAAAAAAAAAAAAATAACAAAATAATGAAGAAGGTTGCTGGGTTAATTTTCATTTGGATTATGTAGTCATTGATACAACAAAATTAACCCTTCTCTTTAAACTCTCTATTGTGGTATTTTATTTATTTCTTCTAAAACTTGGAGTGGATTAAAAACACCAGCACAATGTGGTCGGTCAGGAATTCTGTTGGCAGCAGGTCACATGGAGGTTCAGCAGCTCCTTTGTCCACTGCTATCTTGTCTCATCTGCATGTATTGGCTCCAACTAAGTGCTCTGTTTATATGCATTTCACCCCACTCTTACCACACATCAGTATTCATATAAATTATTTTCTTCAACCTTGGAGAAACGACACCAACACTCAAAGAGGTCAGTTATTCAAAACACTACATTCTCTGACAACAATAATTTTTCCAATAACAAACTTTTCAAAAATTATTTCTATTTTCCTGATGTCAAAGAATTTTTGCATTCCTCAGGACATATTTTAGACTGCTTATGTCATCAGCTTTATGATTTATAACAATTCACTTTTTGGTTGACAATTACATTTTAGATATCAGATTGTTTACAATTGCATTTCAGTTAATATTTTACATTTCTGAAACCATGTTTTTTTCTCAACGTTCCATTCAGCATTTCTGGTTATCAGAAAAGAAAAAAAATTTTTTTTTTTTTCTCTTGCTCCATATTTCAATTCATGTTTTGACCATAGCAGTTTTTTTAACCCTTCCAATTCTCCAATTCCTATATTTAATCCTAATTTCATACTACCAGAGTCACAATGTAAGCAAAGAATCTGTTGAGATTGGGTGGGGAAACACTTAACCGATTGCTTTCAATTGCTTTTATTGGCACGAGGGATCTTACAAATACCAGTTGCAGGCTGTAACTGGTGTTGGCAAACATGCCAGCATGTGATCTGGGCCTTCTTTTGCATCTGTACTGACACGTGTTCACCACATGTTCAGTAGAAAAAAAGGAAAATGAAATATATTATTCAATTTTAATTGAATACACAGCTTCCAAATTAACAGGGAAATTAGACAATTATTATTAGTAAAAGTTTTGATCACTGTTGATGTAAAGAAAACAAGATGCTTAGTTGAAAAGACCAACAAACCAAAAAATCTTAGGTATTTTTCTTTGAGTATTGTAGTGCTATGGTTAACAAATTAATTTCCTAATGTTTATATAATCAGTTCAGTCATTTGTAAGTAATCAACAAATTTATAATTGAAATAATAAAATGTCTTTACAAGTTTCATGGAATAAAATAAACATATTTTACTACTTCAATTTCAAGTGATACACTACATTGAGTTTTTTTTTTTTTTAATTACTTTAAGAGCGAACTTTGGTTGTCACCTTTTTGTAATTGTATTTTACTTTATCTCATTTTCCTTTAAATTTCAGGAAAAAAAGATAAAACTAAATCGTTTGGGAATTCCAAAAGAAAGTTTTTCCAGACCCAACAGATTGATTAAGAAAGACTTGGAAGCTGTAATGAATTCATCTGTTATTTCCGAGTATTCTTGTAGAGACAAAAGTGAAAGCAAAGAGGAAAAGAAATGTCGGAAACTGGCAGTTAAGGAACAAAAAAAGGTGAGAAATTTTCTTCACGTGTGCTCTGATTGTTTAGGCAGTTTTCCCTAATGAAACTTGATAAAAATGAATTAGTATACAAAATAAAATTTGTTAAAGTGAAAGGAGTTACTATAATAGTCATGTAAAACTTTTTGCAGAATATATTCAACTTCATTAATCATCCATATTAAAGTTTGCTCTCAGTATTCATTTTAATAAGACAAATGTTTGCATTGACAGCAGATGAGGGGGTGCTGAAAATTAAAATTTTGATTTTGGGAAGTGGGTTTGTCTGAGAACTTTTCAACACATTTTAAAATTACTTGATTTTCTTAAATGCTGTGTTCTTTCAGGATGTAGCCAATCATGGCTCTACAGAGGTTTTTTTTTTTTTTTTAATCATCTGTGACTTGCCATGACTTCTTGGAGAAGCCAATGTAGTTATTTCCTGTTGCTTCCCCATGGTTTTCAATTCAGTGTAAACTTTTAGACAGGCTGCAGCCCAAGACTAGAAGCCCCAGTATACATTACTATTTAATCCATAGCTGAGCAAAGAGATGAATTTATGCCTTTCCCCAATTAGGTTGAAATTTGAACTCTGCTTACTGGATCCATTTTCTGCACTGATAACTGTTAATGCTAGCAGGACATCTTAAAAATCATGTTGAAGACATTTTTATAACAAAGTAGAGCTGAATGATTTGTGTAGTGCTTAAATCCCTTTTCTAAAATGAGAATTTTATTTTAAAAAAATCATTTACCTTTCCATATATTCAATGTTGTATTTTAAGGCAAAGACTAACATTATGAATGGTTTTACTTATTTCAGGAACGGAGGATTGAAAAAAAACTGAATAAAGAAGCTTTCAAAGATGCCTGCTTGAAGCAACAAAGGGAAATTGCTAATATACATAAAAACATGAGATCAATGGTTATATCATGAGACTTCTGTAAATATTTGTTGGATATAAAAATTACCAGAAAATAATTTTTGTTTAATAATTATTCATTTAGAAAATAAAGTGTATTGAGTTTCTAAAACTATTGCTGATCGTCAACTACTGGTCATGACAAGTGAAAATAATTTTGGTTGATATTTTATAAAGGTGTTTGTAGATGGGAAATTATCAACAAATAGTAGTAGGCATAAAAATTAAGCTCTTGGAACATAGCAAGAGATATATTTATTTATTTGGCATTAAATGATCAAGATTAAACTGGTTTGCATTAGGGAAAAAATAAGGCTTCTGACATTGCTTATTTAAGGGAGATAAATAGAAATTAGGCATTTTTTTTCATCTTTAAAATGTGCAAAAGAAACTAGTATTATGTTTAGTCTAATTGAGAAATTTTATCATTCAAGTATGTGATAGACTGGTTCATATTCTGTTTAGACAGGAGTCTATACCATGTATTTTAGTCTGAAAAAGATTTGAAATGTTGCAAGCCCAAGCCAGTCATGTATTACACCAAACTAAAGTCTTGGAATAATGGCAAAGAGGATTGGAAAAGCTTAAAATTTTAGTTTATTTTAGCTGTTGATTATAGATGTTTAAACTAGCATTTTCCTTCTAATGCTTTCCAATAGTGCTCTGAATTGTTTCTTGCTCACAATTATGGTAGGTAAACAATTGTTTGCCTATTTTTCTATATTAGTATGATAATCAGGTAAAGAGGAGGAAAAAAAAAAAAAAATTGTTACCGGACCTTTCTTCATGTAACTCTGTTGACCACTGTTAATCCTCCCTGTGGTTCTACTTGCCCTGTACTACTGAAGTTTGAAACTCTGACATTTAACTTATCCCATAATACTGGCACAATTGCTTACAGGGAGGCTGACATATTCAGTTGCTACTTGGACAAATTTAGTTTCTCTTTGAAGCAAACTAAAGCACATTGAGAGATAGGTTAATGTCAGCCAAACTTTGAAAGGAAAGGAAAAAGAAAGAATTAATTTTACATCATCTTTATTATCTTGAAATTTATAACAGACAATTAATAAACACAATTTGAAGGAAATACATTACTGAGACACTCTAAAATATTCCATTCAGAAATGTCCTAGAGAAAAGAAAAAGCCCAACTTAAACATTTAAAATCTGGGTTCTCTGTCGAAGTAGTGTATCTCCTTTTTTTTTAATTTCCTCAAAGACAATCAACAAAAAAAAAAAAAAAAAAAATGGGGCCAAAAATGCCTGCATCAAAAGGCAGTGAATGCCAAATCCATTAAATCATTGTTACTTTATGGCATCACTGTGAATGGCCATCTTCCCCTGGAAGCAGCTGGTTAATTAAAAAAAAAAAAAAAAAAAATTGCAATATGAGCTGCAGATTCTCATCCATCTTCAGAATCCAGAACTGAAGAAAGTGCACAAAAATTTTGAAATAAAAAGTACTTGAAAAATTGAAGCCAAATGTGGAGTTCATACATTTTATAATTAGATTATTGGAATGGTTCAAGTGAGCTGCTGCTTAAAAAAAAAAAAATTCTCAAATAGTGATAATTTTCTAAAGACTCCAAGATTGTAGCCTTTTACATCTCCATAATATGATTAAACATATGTGCTCTATTTAACCTATTAGTGAGAATATTCATAATCAATACAATATGAAGTTATTTTTCTTTCAAGAGAAGCAAAAATATTTCATAGTTGCTTAAAAACTCATTACTTTGTGGACATCAGAAACAAAAACTCCATTATTTTTAAAATAGTATCTGAAATATCTTGTTACACAAATCTTCACATATTCTTGAGTCGTATTTTCCAAATAATACTACTACCATCACTATTGTGCAAGTTTCTCATTAGTACTTTAGTAATATGGCCTTGTGTCAAAGTTAATCTTAGTAAATCTTACTTTAATCAGAATTTTTGGTGAAGTTAAAATACCTTTTTGTTTTGGTTTCAAATATCTTTACAGAGAAATGTTAATAGTGGCAAAAGATTGTCAGGTTATAATTTAAAAAGTAAAATACACTTCTACAAATTAGCATTATGAAAACAATTTTCAATCTCCTTGTAATTAAATTTTTATATCATGTTCAAGCTTAGATTTTACAAATAACAATGGGTTAAAATAGAAAAACATTTCTTAGTAAATATTAACATTTATGGTAGCTGAATTGCTTGAAAATTGTGCACAGAAATGTTCTCTAGCAATACTGGTATGCACTTAATGTAGCCTGAATATCTTAAACACAGGTTAATTATCTAAGTTAAATGTTTACAACTAATCAAAATAATGTAAAAAGAAATTAATATCCAACCAGGCTTGCATTTCAATGAATTTAATACCAACTAAATTTTATTATGGAAAAAAACCTGTTGAAGTTTTACTATAAGCAATTTCTCAGTTTCCAAAAATTCAGAAAAAAAAAAAAAAAAATATAGCTTACAAAAGCTGTTGGAATTCTAACAATATGAATAGTGGTTCTCTGAAAAAGGAAGAATAATTACAAGTATAATATTTGAGAAAATAAGAAAATTAATATAATAAAGTGAAGTCAGAAGATGAAGAGGACATGCAGCTATTAGCAAACAAGTACTTGCAATTCTTTTCTCATTTTTATTTATTTATAAAAATGATTAGTGTAATTGCAGGGAGTCCAATACAAATAAGGAAAAAATTAAAGAGGAGATAAGAAAAGAGGAAATGAATTGATTAAAAAAATTTTTTTTTTTAAATTCATGCATTTAAGCAAACCATTTTTAAAAATACAAACCAGTTTTTGAAAAGGTTATACTTTGCATGTATAGATTTTGATCATTTTAAGGATTTTGCTTTTATATATAATTTTATTATTGTTGTTTTGTTTTGCACATCCTCATGCATCCAAGCATCCTTAAACCCACAATCTTTACTAATCAAACAAGCATGCACTGACTGAACAAAAACAAACAACTGGTATTAGGAAACAAAGAGGCATGCAAGGTACCATTTTTTTTTCCTTGGGGAGTGGGGAGAAAAAAAAAAAAAAAAAAGACACAACGACACTAAGTAAAGGGCATTTATTGGTAGTTGACTGAATGAAGTGAATGTCTGCATATAAATATATGCAAATGATATAGAGGTCAATGGATGGGTAGTGGTGAATTGGGCAATTCTTTGTCTTTCATTCATTCATTCACTTCAGCAGAAGCAGCAGCAGTGAGCTGGAAGAGTGGATAATGAGAAAAGTCCAAGTAAAAGATTTCATGTTCTAAATGTATATTAAGTTGCCATAAGTGTTTCTGTAGAAATGATGTATCATTCCTTTGACAGAGTGTAAGAAATAATTGTCATAAAAAGTTAAAGCAGCAGAATCTTAGAGTTCTTGTCATTTTGTAAAATGGTGACTGCAGATATTCATCTCTACATCTAAAATGTATGCTTTAAACCCTGTTTCACTGTGCAACATTATTTCACGTTGATTTATTGCCACAAATTTTCATGGTACAATACGGGCAAGGATACTTAAACTGTTTGAATATTGGGGATTCTGTCATGCAACAGTGAGCCAGGAGTGTAAATGACAGCTGAAACATATTTGAAAAAGTAACCAAACAATATCCACCCTTTGCAGACAGAATGATTAAAATAAAAAGAAATATAATTCAAATATATAATGATAAAAAAAATATCCTTTCTTCTCCCTGTTCACAGTCAACAAAGCAATACTCCTCTTAATATCTTAAAAATGGAAAGAAAAATTTCTAAAAGTTTAAAAAAAAAAAAAAAATCCGTCAAGAAATAATTTTAGTATATTGAGTTTTATAGGCATGTACAACTTTTTAAAAATTAAAACTTTTTTCTTACAGACTTAGCTCTATTTCACTAAATCTTATGCTTTTTTTTTTTTCATTCTCTTTTTTTTTTTTTAAACTAGACTTGAAATTATATGTGCATAAGTAGCTTTACTTGAAGTATGTTAGGCCAAACTGTCAGTTTGCATGTGTAATTATGCTAGTTTTGATGTTCACTTACATATAAATATAATCTGACAAATACATTAAATATCAATTCATAAATGATTTTTTACATACCTGCTAAAAACCAGATATTTGAACAGATGCAAATAATTGCAGTCAATAATTTACCTAAAAATTGTGAAATATTTCAGTAGATGAGAATTTAAGACTTATGTATGTACACAAATATTCAATATGTAAATACATCATCCTTTTAGATAAAGATGAAAATACATATGTATGAATGTGGCCAGATGTTTTCTTTTATACATACACATGACTATTGCAAATATCTATTTACATAAACAACTTCTTTGTGTAAATATGTGTATATACACAAAAGTGTGAACATACAAATACATAGCACCAAGAAATGTGTACATGCATGCAACAGACATTAAACATGCAATTTGAGATGTGCATATACAATTCTTGTTACACACACACACACAATTTTTTTTTTTAAGAAACCTGATATGCATAAGAAACACACCCCAAAAGACATGCATCAAACCCTGAATGTAAGTGAAAAGAAAACAAGTATTTAAAGAAAAGGTGTCTAATACTGTGAGTGTTTAATCTAAAGAAATCTTTAATCTTTGTTCTCAATCCCTACTTGATTGATTGACTAACTATAATCAGCTGGACACGATGCCAACTACTGCTGCCACTGAAAAGTACTATCATCAATTGGTACATTATTAATACAACACTCACATTCACCTTAATTCAACTGGAAGGAGAGTAAGAAGAATCAATTGGAAGTGGAAGCAGGAAATGAAGATAAAAAAGTCAACAAAATTCCCATCCAGCAAATTTGCACAAAATTTTCTTGCTAGTTTTTCAAATTTAAATTTTTTTTATGTGGCTTTCCTTTTGGCTCCAACAAATTTAAAACAAATTATTTTCATTTTTTTTTTTTTTTTTTTTTTAGAGGGAGGGAGAGAGACCGCCTTGCTGTGGTAAATAAAAAAAAAAAATCTTTAATCCATTCAAAACCAAATTTTATAATTTATCTGCGGAGCGTACTGGAAAACAATATTCCAGCATTTCTAATTTTTCTGTTGGTGAAGGAAAGAATAAGAAGTGGTGGACAAAAGGAGGTGCTGAAAATGAGGTGAAATGAGGAAGTTAAAATGGGTTGGGAACCATTGTGGAAAAGGTTACAATATTCCAATTCCTACAGTAGGATGGAGAAGTGATTATTACTCTTTATATACCTCAGGAAAAGGAATATATTGAAGACTTATTTTTACTCCAAAAACTCCTATCCACTTACTACATACTTCCTCCCTCTATAATATTCTTAGGCAATCCATCCATTTGTCTACTCATCCCTACCTCCACCTGAGTGAGCTATGATGACCAACCTCTGGCTTGCTATTCAGCAATTGACATGGGTTGACTTGTAGACTATTGCTAAGATAAAAAAAAAGAAAAGAATTATCACTGCCACAAATTAGTGGAAAGTGTCTGTCCTGAGGTGTTTTGCATGCCCCATGGATTAGTAGGTGTGGCACCAGGAGCTCCAGCCTGAGGTCGAATTGCCATTTGGCCGGCAGGGGCCATATTACCGGGTTGATTCAGCCTCATGGCTGCCATCTGCTGCTGCATCTGAAGAAGAAAAAATAAAAATTACTAGCACAAATTTAAAAGTCATAAAAAAAAAAAAAAAAAAATTTAAAGTATTTGTAATGAAACAAATCAGATTTAAAATTAGTGCGTAGAATAAACCAGCAGAAATAAGCAAATGTCA